GTCTCCTTTGCTGGATTCTTATCTTCCTGACCCCTGAATGAGGGCATACATGATGCTTCCTATTAATCCTCACTGTCAGATCATCTCATGAAGTTCCATAGCTTTAAATGGCATCTGCTCTGGGTTAAATGTGTCCCCCAAAAGTTCATGTATTAACAGCTTGACCCCCATTGTAACAGTTTTAAGAGAATAGGAAATCCAGTTTATAGTATTTGAAAGGTAAAGCCTTTAAGAGGTGATTGGATCATGAGGGTCTCACCCTAAAGAATAGATTAATCCATTAATGGGTTAATGATTTAATGGGTTATCTGAGAGGGGTTCTGATGGCTTTATAAGGAGAGAAAGTGAGCACATTAACTTTCTTGCTCATGCCATTCTCACCATGTGAGACCCTGCTCATCACGGAACCCTGTAAAGAATTCCCACCCAGAAGAAGGCCCTCACCAGATCTATTCTCTGGACCGTGGACTTCCCAGCCTCCAAAACTGTGAGAAATAAACTTTCTTTCTTTATAAATTGCCCATTTTCAGGTATTCAGTTATAAGCAACAGAAAACAAACACAGCATCTTTAAGCTGATTACTCCAAAGTTTACATTTCTAGCAGATACTTTCCTTATGAAGTCTCGATTCATATGTGCAGCTGCCAATTTGACATCTCCATTTGGTGGACTAACAGGCATATTAAACTTAACATGTCCCAAACTGCTTTTCATTTCTGCATCATCCTTTTATTGGTTAATGGCAAATCTATTCTTCAGTTGCTCAGACCAAGAACTTTGGAATTATCCTAGTCTCCCCATATCAATCTACTAATAAATCTTTTTGTCTTGATTTTCATATAAATGTAGTATCTGACTACTTGTTACCCTCCCCCTTTGCTGCTATTCTAGCCCAAGCAACTGTCATCTTCCATCTGGACCATTGAGTAGCCTCCTAACAAATCTCTCTGCTTCTATCCTGCCCCCCCTCCTTACAACAGCCAGAAGGATTCTTCCACAGCATCAGCAATATCATGTCACTTGTCACAGATTGGGTTCACCTGGAAGAAGACTGAGGTACAGTTTAGCATGCAGGACTTTTTTGAGGAGTGCCCTTGGTATCAATGCTTGTGGAAGGGAAGAAGGAAAAAAAACTGGGCAGACAGAGAAGAAGTCAAGCAGTTATGAGACAATGACAGGCCTGGCCAATACATGTTGGCCTTTAGAGCTAGATTGATCCTTCCAAGTTGTCCAAATTGGGCTGAGATGGCCAGGCCTTTATGTTCCCTCATCAATCAGTCATGAATATGGTCTATTCCAGAGGGATGCAACTTCAGCAAGGCAGCCCTCTGCAGCCGAGGCAGTCCCTGAAGGGATCGTTATCAGTCAGCCCAAAGTACTCCGAGCAGTGGAGAAAACAGGCTTTCATTGGAGGGCGATCTGGGCAGCACAGCACAGGATTCACCACACCACTCTTCTCGCCAGTACCCTCCAGTGCTTCCCGTCTCACTCAGAATACAATTCAAAGTTCTCACCATTCTCTCTATCCTCATCTCCTCCAACTCTAACTTACCCCCCTAAAGCCACATTAGTGACCTGGTGTTTCTTGAAGCCCCCAACTCCCAGCAGTGCATTCCTGTCTCAGCATTTGGCATTGGACTTGGCATAGATACTCCAAATGTGTTAGGAAATATAGACATTTGCTATTAAGCTCTTCCACCAGGTATCTACAGGGCTGGCTCCTGCAGTTTTTAAAAATCTCTGTTCAATTTTCAGTTTACCGGAGGAAGATTCCCTCATCAACCTAGATCAATTAGCAAATAAGCACACTATCCTTTCATTCTGTTCCTTTATTTCACTTGATTATTCCTTTTAGTATTTAAATCATGACCCAACGTGGCTCTTTCTCTATATATACTTATTTCTTGTCTGTTCATCCCCTCCACTTGGATGTAAGCTCTGCGAAAGAGGGGACTTTGTTTTTATTCACTGCTATATCACCAGTGACTATAACAGTGCCTGGCACATAGTTGGTGCTGAATAAATATTTGTTAACTACAATTATTTTGGGAAAAGGGACTGTTCCATAGTAAATTAAAGCTAAAGCGCTGGACTGAAACAAACCTAGGATTTACTTGTGGTTCTAAACTTATGAGCTGTGAAATATAGAAGACATGATGTGCTCTCTCTGCATCTGAGTTTACTCAGTTGTAATGTGAAGTTGATTATAATAGTATGCATATAACAGTCTTGTGGTAAAGTCAAATGGGATAATGTGTGCAAAGCATTGTTAGGCACTTAATGGATAACACTAAATCTACAAATTGTTTATAAGCACAGTGCCTATCATGTAGCAGGTGCTCAAAAATTGGTACTTTTTTGATCATTGTTATGATAAACATATGAATTGATCTATTGTTAGAGTTTATTATGAGCCTGTGATTGTTTAAATGATGCAAACAATTTCTTCACTTCTTCATTTTAGCATGTCCTATAGATAGCCAGGACTGATATTTCCCTCTTGAAAAGAGGGAGAAATCTTATGTCTCAGTCTGCTTAATCTGCCATAAGAAAATACCATAAACTGTGTGGCTTAAACAACAGAAATCTATTTCTCACAGTTCGGGAGGCTAGAAAATCCAAGATCAAGGTGCTGGCCTATTCTTCCAGGCTTGTGGACAGCCTATTTCTGGCCTATTCTTCCAGGCTTGTGGACAGCCTACTTCTGAGATAGGAGGTGCTCAGTTTCTCAGGGGCTCAGGTTACAGTATATGCCTCTGAGTTTCAAGACATTCCATAAGATTTCAGACCCCTCCTCTAGGCCCTCCCTTCCTTAGAGGAAAGTTACTGTTGCTAGTTAGACCTTTTATCAGCATCAACACAGGGAAAATGAGATCACAAAGGGCTGGCTTATGCAAATCCAGTGGCTGGACATGCTCAGTAGAAAAAGGTTATATAGGGCCGGCCCGTGGCTCACTCGGGAGAGTGCGGTGCTGATAACACCAAGGCCCCGGGTTCGGATCCCACATAGGGATGGCCGGTTCGCTCACTGGCTGAGCATGGTGCTGACAACACCAAGTCAAGGGTTAAGATCCCCTTACCGGTCATCTTTCGAAAAAAAAAAAAAAAGGTTATATAAAGTAGCTGAATGACCTTCCACTAGAAGTAATAAAGAGCACAGAATATTCTTGAATATGTTCAGTGCGTGTAATAGAATTTGACCAACCAACATGCTCCGAAAGGAGACCAACAGAGCATGAGCTAGACTGTGTTACATAACTGGGAACCACCCACTTAACTGAATATTCATTAGATAGCAAAACTACAAAAGCCAAATCTCAGAAGGCCTGGTCGTTGCTCACTCTTCTAGAGTCAGAGTGTGCATTTCTTTCTTTTTGTATCAAACTTACTTCCAGCAGGTGGTTGCTCACTTTTCTGAAGCCAACCTGCACTTCTCCAGCTGAGGTGTGTATGCTTTTTAACAATTTCAGCAAGCAGGCGCTCACTCTCTTGAGTCAGCCTGCACTCTGTACTGAATTTTAAGTGTATATTTCTTACTTTTGTATTAAAATTGGTGTGGACCCTGTCCAGTCGCTGGAGCTGGGCCACACTTTCTCTGTGAAAACCTATATTTCTCACCTGTTATATTAAACCTGTGTTCACTTTCCACTGTGACTCTGCTCTTGAATTCTCTCCTGTGGTGGACTCAAGAACCTGGTAAGAGGATGGGGTGGGTTGAGGCTGACTATCAGGCCTCCCAGACCATTCCTCTGGCATCACTTCTCCCTGTGTCCTCGCATGGCATTTCCCTGAAGCATTGGGGTAGGGGAATATCTCTTCCTTTTCTCATGAAGCCACTAATCCCATCATGAGGGCCCTACCTTTATGATCTACTCTAATCCTTACTACCTCCCAAAGGTCCCATCTCTACCATCACATTGGGGGTTAGAGCTTCAACATATGCATTTTGGAGGGACACAAACATGCAGTCCATAGCAGTTTATTTTAATTTTATGTCCGAAAGTTTCAACAACAAAAATTTTAATATGGGGTGTTGGAGAATAGGTTTTCAGAAGTGCAACTTCTTCACTTTATACATGTGTCTATACATTGTGTCTAAGTCTATCTAAAATTGCATTTTATTTATTTATTTATTTTTTCCTTTTTGTCTTTTTTACTGACCGGTAACGGGATCGCAACCCTCAGTGTCGTGCCCGTACGGGGGACCGGCAACGGGATCGCAACCCTCGGTGTTGCGCCCTCACCACGCTCAGCCAGTGAGCGGGAACCGGTCTCCACATGGGATCTGAACCCTCGGCGGGAGTGCCCCCGCGCTCCCAGACGGTGTACTCTCCAGTGCGCCACCGGGCTGGCCCAAAAAATTGCATTTTATTTTAATAGGGCTTAGGAAAATTCCTATTTAAAGAAATTGTTTTGGGTTTTTTTTTTGCAAAACATCATCCTTTTATAATCCAAATTATCATTCTATAACTTATCTCTTTTGTACACTTGATTTTCTCACCTCTGTACGAACAGTCTTGCTGCAATGCTCCTTAAAAACAGAATGTATAATTAATGCATAAAGCCTTCAGCAGGTAAAAATATAGGCGGCAAGTCAGAAAATAAATAATTTTTAAGCTCTTGTTAATCTATATATAGAAACAATATAAAAATTTTAAAAAGACATATATATATTTAGATTTTACTTAAATTGCCTCACAAATATACACGTTTTATATTGTAAACGTTCCTCTTGGCAGTAACAGCAAAACAGCAGGACACAGGAAGCGAGAAATAACTTTTAATGTCTGCTGCAGCACCCCGTGGACTATCCTACAAGCAGGCGGACAGGAAAGGCTCTGCGGACTGGGAGGGTTTGCACTGCGACTCCCCGAGCCTCACTAAACCAGGAGCGACACACAGGTCAGCCGGCATGGCTCATGGTCACTACCATAAGTGACAACAATCGAACATCCAGAAAAATCACTGCCTTTAAAGAGCCAGGAAATACCAGCCCTCTGTCCAATTAAGTCTTTTGTTTTACCATTCTGCGTGTGTAATAAAGGTAGATTAAAACAGCAACAATAAGAGAACTCCCCAGGGGATCCTCTGAGCATGCAGGGAAAACGCAAGTTTCCGACCTACAGGAAGGAGAAACAGCATCCAATCGGTGCACGTTTCTCAATGGCCAATCAAACCTCGCCTTACATTGTAGCGCTGGGAAAGAGGGAGCCGGACCTGTCTGTCTTCCGGGTGCGGCTGCTACGGTCACCTGGAGGGGCGAGCACCCCGGAGGCTGTCTTTGTTACCTGAGCAATAAGGGCGAAGCAGTTCAACCTCTCTCTGTGCTTGCTGGATTTGCTTGTATTTGTTCCCAGCCACTGCTCATGTAATGCACTCCCTTAACCAGGAAATTAAAGCATTCTCCCGGAATAATCTCAGGAAGCAATGCACCAGGGTGACAACGCTAACTGGAAAGAAAATTATAGAAACATGGAAAGATGCCAGAACTCATGTTGTGGAAGAAGTAGAGCCGAGCAGTGGGGGTGGTTGTGGTTATGTGCAGGACCTTAACTCGGACCTGCAAGTTGGCGTTATTAAGCCATGGTTACTCCTGGGTGAGTATTCGATTTGCAACTAAGTCATTGAGTCCTTTTAACTAGATAACATTCTCATTTTACCCTTTTATGTGTAGTAGTCTGTATTATCAGCTCTGCTGCCAAAAAGCTGAAATGTTTCCTTTTTTGGATATGGAACTTGCATTAGCCAGCTAGAGTTGTTTCTGCCCCGCAATATACCCATGAGAAGCATAAGTAGCATTTAGCACCTGGTATGTGAATTTTACAAGAGCTTCCTTCCTATTTTTCTAACTTCGTTGGAGGATAACACATTGATGTGCTTTCTCGGATTATAAAAGCCAAAATTAAAAACAATGCTTTTACCAGACAAAACCACAAGTGACATGGGTTAAAGTTATCGAAAAGCTAATACTTGAAATAGTCATGTGCCCGTTTGTCTACTCAGCTGTTACAAACCATATGGTATACTCTTACGTGCCTCCTGTGGCCCACATCTGTTCATGGTGTCTGTTGTTGGAGTGTTCAGGAGGAGGTTTTCTATTTTATAGCTATGAGTCTGACTGTTTTAGGATTTCTTGTATTATGGAAATACTGTGTACAAGCATAGTGCACAAATTGCAAACGAAGCAATATTGTAAAGGTACAAACTCGTTAATTTGGCAAGAATATGGTATAGTGTTTTAAAAAAAAAATAGTCAATGATGTTTTCAAGTAGATCTAAATTATTTTTCACTCCTTAATAGAGAAATTAAGACTTGGAAAAATTAAATGACTTGTCAATATTTATGCAGCCAAGGCGTTTTTGATTAGAAAGAACACTGAACTGGGAGTTGGAAGTAGCCAGGTACTATGCAAATGGCACATGGCATCTCACTCCTTTTAAGGACTCTGAAGTAGAGATTATGAGCTCCATTTTACACATGGGAACTGGGATTTAAGATTGGTTGAGTAACTTGCACAAGGTAACACATTTAGCGAATAACAGAGATGGGCATCAAGCCCTAGTCCTTGCTCTCATCCTTATTCTAGATTGCCTCAGGTAGACGAAATTTTCAGCCCTGCTGTGCTTCTAATAGCTAGTGCAAGTCATTTATCCTCTCTGGTCCTCCAAAAAGCCATCTGGGAAGCTGAAGTAACAGTATCTGCTCTCATAGAGTTGTCCTGAGTTTGTTGTGAAAGGTTTTTGACACAAATCAATTGCAGTATACATATGAGTTATTATTGTATGGTATATATGAATCGTTACATAGGCTATCTTTAAATTCACCAAATAAATATCTCCAACTAGTTTCTGTAGCCCAGTGAAAAATTATACCAAATTCTTGCCTAGTTAAAATTAAGTGAATCAGTTAGCAATCTGGAACAGTCACCCAGGTCTTGCTTACCACATCTAGGAAAGAAAATATGTCCAGGCACATTTTTTGGTTGTTTGGCTTCCGTTACAGTAATAATGGTTTAAAATAATTATGGTAGAATTTTTATATATCATTCACCAATTCAGAGTTTTCATGAACTTTGCTTGTTATTTTCATATGTGGACTTATCCAAAATGAAGTGATAAAGGCAGTGTTCTCATAGTGGGGTTGGAAGCCTCCCCAGGATCCTGAGAGAGTCCTGGGTGGGGGGACCCTAGCTGCCTAGTTTCAAGCGCCTTACTCCTGAGAGACTTGTGGATGGTTATTACCTCTAAAATTTTTCCTTTGTTTCTGACCAGACTTGGTTTTTCTCTGGGAAATTGAGATTGTTTCCCGACAGATTCTAAGAGATTCCTTCAACTCCTCAGACCAGCACATGCATGCCAGACAACTTTTGTTTTTGGTGGAGAATCAAGAAAATGAAGAGCTATAAAAACATAATCTGTCTTTTTCAGTTAACTTTTAAACTCTAATAAGCTACTGCATTTCAAAAATCTTGTATAGGCCCTTGAACCATCGAACGGGTAGATAAAAGATCTTAGTAAGCATTTTTGTCCTAGACTTTGCAAATTATATATATGTGTTTTGTTTTGTTTTGTTTTTTAAAGATGACCAGTAATGGGATCTTAACCCTTGACTTGGTGGTGTCAGCACCATGCTCTCCGAAGTGAGCTAACCGGCTATCCCTATATAGGAATCTGAACCCGTGCCCTTGGTGATAACAGCACCACACTCTTCCAAGTGAGCCATGGGCCAGTACTTGCAAATTATATTTTTACAACAAAAATTTAAGGAGGAATTTTCTTAAATCCAACTTGATTTGAAAAAGCAGGAATTTTCATTTCTTTTGGTTAATTAAAAGGCACATTTATTATTTGTTATATCCATTCTGTTAAGAAGTCCCAAATGGTGACATTTTGAGATCTGTTCAATTTCAGTTGAAAAGCTTGAGATACTTTATGAGATTATAGAGGATTTCTGAAATCTAAGAAACTCAATTTTCTTTTTTTTTTTTTCCCTTTTTGTCTTTTTTCATGTCCGGCAACAGATCGCAACCCTCAGTGTCGCGCCCGTACCGGACCGGGACCGGCAACGGGATCGCAACCCTTGGTGTTGCTCCCGCACCTCGCTCAGCCAGTGAGCGGGACCCGGTCTGTACGTGGGATCCGAACCCTCGGCGGGAGCGCCACCGCACTCCCAAGCGGCACACTGTAGCAGTGCGCCACTGGGCCGGCCCGAAACTCAATTTTCTTGGGAGGCAGATACTGTTTTAAATTTGTATAGCTCTTTATTATGTAAACTTCTTTCACAATATTATGTTACCCAACTCTCATGCAAAGTATGAGAATTTGAAAATAGTGATTTGTAAATTAAGGCATTCTACATCAGAATTTATACATTACTGGTATTTGGTATGTTCATAAAAATGATCTCTTAGAAGAATGGAAATAGGCTTCTAGAGATCTTCCATAGCTTGTATTTTATGACATATATACTATAATTGCAAAAGATTGAATTTGTTAGAAGTTCTAGTTTCATTAGCATGTAATACATATTCTTTCTAAATCAATTACCTCATCTGTTAAATTTCTGTAATAATCCTTGTCTAAGTTAATGAATATTAGAGTGGCTTATAAGTGTCAATGTCTGTAAATTATTATTAGACTTCCTTGTTTAGTTGTAAACACTGAACACTTTTTTAAAAAATCACTTTTTAAATTATCATTCAATAATATTGGTTTGGTATTCAATTTTAACTCAAGTAGAGATTCATGTAACCACTGTTAAAATCATCAAATTCTTAAAATTGATACTTGTTTGATTTCAATTAAAATAATTTAAGAAAGGATGACATTCTACTTTTCTAAAACAAAGATTTTAAAAATAACACAATGTCATACTATATGATTAACAGTGTTTATTTCTTTTAAAAACAAGAAAAATTTATTAAAGAAGTAACACAAAGCATCCATTTAAAATTGAGGAAAAGCTGATATTTACCTATTGACCTATTATTTAGGTCATGTTTCAGTTTTTTGCTATTTTAAGAAATAGAGTAGAATTATTATTTAAAAGATGGTATGCATATTAAAACACCATATTTCAATTAACTTATTTGAACCTATTCTTTTCCTGGATATTGTTAGGAATACTATAGTAGAAAACTGAAAAAATTTTTTAAAAAATCATGAGGTATTTCAAATTTATAGAATTTACAAAAAATAATATTACAGTACATTACGTATCCACCATCCAGCTTTAATATATGTTAATATTTTGATAGGCTTACTTTTAAGTAGGATAAAGCTGAATGTGGGCTCAGTAAGGAGTCTGTGAGCTTGGTATTATCAAGAGAATATAGGCCAAACAGCATACTTGCTGGCCTTTTAACTACTTAAAAATCATGTAATGAAATTTGGCTAATTCCTCAGATAGGTTATGTAAGAAAAACACTGTTTATAGAAATGGAATCCAATTCAGGAAAATAAAATACTTGAAATCTTTAATTATAAATGCCCTACTTTTTCAATTTGAAACTCACTTTACTTGAACTAGTTATTCTGCCATATGAACTAGCTTATTAACTAGATAGAGCCAGTTTCCAAGTGTGGGAGATTTGGAAAGCCAACTTTGACAGGAAGAGACTGTAAAAAGCACAGCTCTAGTGGTGCACGGAGTGTGGGTGGGGTCCTTTAGACCAACAGCATTTGCTCTAAGCTACTGGGTATTCCCAACCAGCTGGCACTAAGTCATTTTGTGGGTGTCTGATTTTCTTAATATCCTTTTTACAGTTACAAGACAAAGAGATGCTTATTGTAAAAAACACAAATGAGCATAAAGAAAAAAATCACCTAGAACTCCACTGTTAACATTTTGTTCTATATGCTTCCTGTCCATTTTTAAGCATATACATATTTTTGTTTCTATAAAAAATGGATGATGGTATTTTATAACCTGCTTTTATCACCTTATGTATTAAGAACATATTTCCATGCCATCAATATTCTACACTTCTTATCTCTAATGGTGATAATGGCTGTATATATTTCACTATGTATTTGTACCATCTTTTATTTAACCAACCCCTATTATTGGGCTTTTAGTTGTTTGTTTTGTTTTAATTTTTCATATTATCAACAATGCTATCTATGATGATCATCCTTATAGCTTATCTTTGCAACATTTATAACTTTTAGGACAAATTCTCAGAAATGGGATTCAGAATCCAATGGGAAATACAAGATTAATATTTTTCAATGAGTATAACAAAATTGGCCTTCAGAAGTTTGGACTGAAGTCCTCCCAAGTTGTTGGGTTTTTAAAAAATAAATAAATAACAGAATTGTTGTACAAATTTGTATAAAAAGGATAATTATATTTATGTTCAAGGCAATATGATTTATTTCTTATAGGCTCACAAGATGCTGCTCATGATCTGGATACACTGAGAAAACACAAGGTAAAAAAAGCTTCAAGTCTAGCACCACATATAGGAAGTCTTTTAACTGTTACATTTATTTAGGGAAAACTGTATTCATCCATATCTGGTACATTTTAGAGTTTAATTGGTATAATTGGTAATGTTTTGGCTATCATTTTAATAAAGTTGCAAAAATTATTGCACCTAATTCAAATATATGGAATTGTAATCCATCTTTCCAGTTTTATGTTCTTCTCAATTTCCTTCACATATACTCAAGAACCTTTGGAGGTATGTCATTTTTACCTCTGCTTATGTAGTTCCTCTGTGTGGGATAGACTTATAGATTCTCCCTCATCTCTGCTTGTCAAAGATCTATCCATGCCTTGAGTCCCAACTCACAGACCACTTCTTCCCTAATACCACTTCCTCCCACCCTCCTCCACACAATGTATGTGATTTATTACTTATTTCAGTTTGTACTCAAAATAATTTTTATCCGTGTACCATTTTGTCAAGCACTGTTTCATGGAATTGCTATGGTTCAAGGAGAGTGAGAAGTTCCTATTCACATGAAGCTTATGATCTGAGGGGCAGAGAGGGAAGAGAGACAAACAAGCAGTCTCAGTACAGTGTGCTGTGTGCTTTCATTGGGAAGTGCAGGGTGCTGTAGAAGTGCACAGGAGATGATGCCCTTAACCCGTGTTCATTTTGTTTTCTTTTGTTTGGGGATAGGAGGGTCAGGGAAGGCTTCCTGGAGGAAGTGATGGTGATGTTTTGCTCTGAAGGGGGTGGGGAAGGACCAGACAGAAAAGTGTTCAGATAGAAGAAATGGTATGTGTGAAGGCTCAGGAGCAAGGGAAAGGCTGATGCTTTCAGGGACAGAAAAGAAGTTCAGTAACTGTGGAATAGAGAGTCTGAGAAAGAAGGGTACCAATAGACAAGGCCAGAAAGGTACACATGAGCCAGATCACAAAAGGCCATGTAAGCCAGAGTAAGTTATTTGGACTTGATCCAACAGATAGTGGAAAGTAATTAAGAGGTTTTACTCAGAAAAGTAACAGGGTAGAACTTGCATTTTAGAAAGATTGTTAGAAGCAGTGTGGAAAATAGATTGGAGTGTTCCTCAAGCTAGAGATGAGGAGACCAATTATGAGGCTATTGCAGTAATCTAAAAAAAAGATAATGATGGCTTAGATTAGGATGCAGCAGGAATAGAGAGAAGTGGATGGATCTGAGGGTCTTCTTAGAGGGTAAAATTCTCACAATTTAGTGATTGGTTACTTATGGGACAGCGGGAGGTGAGAGTGAGGGAGAAGGAGGAGTCAAGGCTGATAACTAGCTTTCTTTGGTAAATTTAAGTAGGGTTGGTGCCATTCCATGAGAGAGGGAACAAGTAGGGGAAACAAGTTTTGGAGGAAAAACATTGAACTCAGGTTTGAACATTTTTAATTTCAGGTGTTGTGGATCATCTAGGTAAAGTTGTTTAGAAGACAGTATGGATATATGGGGTCTGAAGTTCAGGAGAGAGGTGAAGATATAGATTTAGGAATCTTTAGGTTATAAGTAGTGATTGAGCTCATTGGAGTAGATGAAATCATCTGGGAAGACGTTTAAGGTGAGCAGAGAAGAGGGCCTATAACAGAACTCTATCATGGAACCAATAGGTTGACTAATACCAACCTATAAGGAATAATCAAAGGAAGGAGAATCTGCAGGTCCAAAATATGGTGTCATGGAAGCCAAAGAAGGGGACGATGTTTTAAGGAGAGAGTCATCAGTGTTAGATGCTACAGAAATTGAAGGACAATTAGGACTAAATTATGTCCATTAGACTTTGTAACAAGGAGGTTGTTTGTGCTTTTGGTGGGAACAGTTTCATGTGAATTGGAGGCCAAAGCCAGATTTCAGAAGAAAATGGAAGGAGCCATAGGTTATATTGAGGTCAGGGGAGGGAGATGAGAGAGTTGTGAGCATGTTTTAAGGCTGATGGCAGAGGAAGGAATTGAAGATACAGCAAGGTTATGAAAATAAGCAAGAGTTATGGCTAGAGGGAAGTACCAGGAAAGTAAGAGGCCATTTGACCCCAAGCACAGGGACTGGAATAAGCTTTATGAGGATGCAGGAGCACATCATTTATTATAATCAGAAGACAGAAAGAAAGTACAGGTATAGGCAAGGTTGTTAGATTTGATGGTGAGATGTGTGAGTTCCTATGTGATGCTTCTCTTTTTACTGGAAAGTAGTAAGTGAAGTAATTTGCTTGGAGTAAGGAAGAGATGGTAGCACTGAAAGTTTTTAGGGGAGTTTTGAAAGAGCTGATATGGAGAATGAGGGAAACAGCCTACTAGGAAAATATAGTTGCCCAGCATTACTGAGGGTCAAGAAAGGTTGGCTCTCATGAATTTATGATAGACATGAAATGCAATATTGTGATTTTTTTCTAGCAATGCTTAGCAGTCTATGTATAGAATGAATATTTGCCAGACAGGTGTGGGAGAGGTGGACTGTGGGCTATAAACTGAATAGAAAAGGAAGTGAAGACAAGAGGGGGCTGATAGATAAGAAGAAAATAGAAAGAGCAAGGAATTAATGGTTCTTATGAAGTCTAGTGGGAGGAACTGAGTGAAAGACATGAAAGATATGAGTGGGATACCTAAATTAATGGTATCAGAGCTGGAGCAGTTCTGGCATTGACCTTGAAGGACAGTGATTGAAGTGGAGTAATGATAAGGTCATTGGAGATAAGATAGCAGGGAATTGTTAAACCTAAATGGAAATTGATGTCTTCCAGGATAGTGATAGGACTTGGGGTAGGATTCAGCAAAGTGAGAGGTACCCAAGGGACAGAGTGCAGAATGTGAAGAAGATGGGATATCAGTTTGTTTGAATCCCAATGAGCCAAGATTTTTTACTACAGGGTAAACAAGTGATTTGGAAGAAGCAGGGAGTAGCCATAAAGACTGCAACCCTGACTCTCACCCACTACACAAATGGGGTATGTGAGAATGAGGAGTCTCCACTTGATGTGGTGTGCTGATATGGAACATTTTGTATCTCGCTCATTTATCTGTTCAGAAAATATGAAGCACCTACTTTGTGCTAGTCCCCTTTCTAGGTAAAGGAGATATGGAAATGAACAAGCAGTAAGGTCCAAGCTCTTAAAATATGAAGGCACTTCAAAAAGTTTATGGAAAGTTTCATATTGTTTTTTAATTCTGTTTTTCTATGAACTTTTTGAAGTACCATTGTATGCTTCTTTCAGATGAGAATATGTTCTCTAAAAGAATCGAAACAAGGCAATGAGAAGAGTGGCAGGGGGACCTCACGAGTTAGGCTAGGCCTTTCTGGGGGTGAGACATTTCAACTATGACCTTATGTCCCATGCTTAGATGAAGAAAGAACACTTCGGGCTGAGAGAATAACAAATGCAAAGGCTCTCAGTGGGGGACAAGATCTGTTCCTCTCTTTTGGTCCCATAATAATTTGTTCTTTTAGATCTTAACACTTTCTGCCATACTTTTTTTTTTTCTTTTTTTTTTAAAGATGACCAGTAGGGGATCTTAACCCTTGACTTGGTGTTGTCAGCACCACGCTCTCCCATGTGAGCCAACCAGCCATCCCTATATAGGGATCCAAACCTGTGGCCTTGGTGTTATCAGCACCACTCTCTCCCAAGTGAGCCATGGGCTGGCCCCTTTCTGCCATATATTATTACCATCAGTGAACACGTTTTCCTCTCCTCTACTATTTAGCAAACTTCTAGAGGATACTTTGTCCTACTTACCTTTGTTACACACAGCTCTGAAAAAAATTGTGATTGAAGATAAAAAAATTTTATGTGATAAACACTTGCAATTATTTCTTCAAGGTAATAACTACTAGCCAGTTCATTAACTACTTTTACATTTTTGTTAACTGACTGATGTATTTAAACTGGGCTTTCCTTGGTTTGTTATAATTGCTGCCTGACAATAAGAAATAATGGCCTTGACTTGCATAAGGATATGAGAATCACTGTATTTCCCAACAGAAACCCTCTTATATTGATATTTTAACTAAAGTGAAACAAGTTTCAAAGTCTTGCTTACACTAATAAATTAATATTTCTCAGGCTAAAAATGACAAATAGAAACTGATAAATTTTTACATTGGCGAGTGTTTTTATCGTCTCTCCCCTCTATGGTACACTAGTTCAAATTCAATTTTATCCTAGTGATGTGAAACAAGTAGCTGCTTAAGAGATCCTGCTATCTCTACACAGTGATCCTGTTAATGATGCCTGGTAGAAGCGAAGCTAAACTGAGCCACTGAATAGAGAAGGTTTCTGTAAAAATTTAAGGATGCTGAAAAACAACATTATTGATTTAAATGCATGGCACATTTCAAAGTGATATTCTAGGATTTAAGTAAAGTGCTGCAACTAGTAGAAATTCTCTTGTGGAGGACTATTTCAGAAATTTCTATAGGAACTTAATGTTTATAGATGGTAATAATGGTCGCTTTATTAATAAAGTGCTCCTTAAGTGCCTGGTGTGTGTCTAATAAAGCACTATGGAGGATAGAATATTTAAAATGTTCCAAGTTATTTATTGCAGCATTGTTCATAATAGCAAATCATTGAAAACAACCCACCTGTCCATCAATAGGGAACTGGTTAAATAAACAATAGTACACCCACATCATAGAATACTATTTAGCTATAAAAACCAACACACAAAAAGGGTCTCTATATACTGATATGAACAGATATTCAGGACATATTTAAATAGGAAAAAATCCTCAAGGATGTTGCTGTTGTGTAAGAAAGTCAATAAATAAAATATTTGCATAAAGAAACACTGAGAGAACATGCAAGACACCGATAAAAGTGGTTACCATCAGGGTGGGAGATAATGCAATAGACAGAGACAGGTTGAGAACAAGGCTTCTCAATGTTTTCTTTTCACAGTCTTTTGATATTTGAACCAGTTAAAAAATAAAATTTTATTAAAAATGGAAATAATATGCCTAAATGTGGGTACTAAGTGAGATAACATGTATGCCTGACGCATATTAAGTACTCAGTAAAGGGGCTATTCTTATTATTGCTAATATGAGGAATTGCCAATCCAAGGGCAAACATTATTAGGAGCTCTGTAACTAAGTTTTAGAAGTATGTTTTATTACTAGAGGGTTTTAGGTTGGGTCCCCGATCACTACCACCACCTGTGACTCAGTACAGTTCTTGTCAATCAGGATCATTCAGTCCATACACATCTAAATTTCATTTCCAAACAGCTACACTACCCAGGCATTGGGTAGTTTAATAATCCACAATATTTGTTAAGCACATCTACCTTTCAATGTGTATTCCCAAGATTCTCATTTGGTCTTATCCATAATCCTGTGATATATAAGGAAGATATATAGGGCAATTATATATGTATATATGTATAATTGATATTATATATGTATAATTTTGTAAGTAGTAAGTCCTCAGTTCATTTCTGGTCTTTTAGAATGTAGGACATAGTTGTGAAGAAAAAGCAAACACATCAGTATTATAAAACACTGAAAGATATTATGTAATTGAGGGCAGAATCATAGAATCCTGGCCAGGAGTGCACTGGGGGTGACAGAGGGACTTGATGTAGTCACATAAGTTGAAGGATGTTTCAGACTTTAAATTTTTTTTTTTTTTTTTTTGGTGGCTGGCCTGTGTGGGGATCTGAACTCTTAACCTTGATGTTGTCAGCATCACACTCTCCAAGTGCACTAACCAGCCAGCTCTCAGACCTATCTTCTAAAAATGCTCTCCCTCCTTTCTACTTTCTCCTTCTTCTCTCATTTTAAGAGAGTCTCCTAAGTAGATATTTGAGGGGTTTTTTTGTTGTTGTTGTCTTTCTTCCTCAAGGCAGGTAAGCTAATAAATGGTCAATGGCTCTCTCTTCATGAGGCCTGGTTCTTTAAGTGTCTTAGTCAATACCCTTGGTTGTGAGCCAGAGAAACCAATTTGAGCAACTTGAGTAAGGAAAGAGAATGGGTATAATAATAACAGGAGCTTCTCTGGACCCAAGGGCAGGGAGTGGCCATGCCTCACCAGAGACTCGAGCCAGGGAATGGAAGGCCATACAAGAGAGCCCCTTTCTCCCCCTGGCACCTCAGTCCTCTCTGCATATCTCCTCCATTTATCTTACTTTGCAGCAGCAGTTCTTTAGTTGCTCTGAGCACATAATAGAAAATGGCTGTCTTACAGCTCTCACATTTGTAGCTCACTCTGTCTTTTAAAGTTTGTAAAGATAATCTGAACAGCCACCTTAAGTCAGGTGCCCACCCAAATCTAGTCAACTATGTTTGGGGGAGGAGTGGGGTGTTGCCAGAGCATACCTGAGAGGGAGGGGGGCCAGAGAGTCAGGGCTAGACAGATACTCTACAATATGTGTGAAATACATGAAAATATGGAGGTTAGGCAAAACCTAAGACACATGCTAAGGAAGGAGAGTAAATACAGTAAGAAGCATTGTCATGATAAGAAACAGTGACTCATTTTTCTGATCTAATGAACTTTCCACATGGCTCCTTCCACATGCTTCATGGACTCTAGGAAAAGGGCTCAAATACATAGATGGAGTAGGAGGAGATGGACATGCTCGAGAGTAACATATGAAAAAAATCTTTCATACTCCCCTTCCCCTCACTGCCTGCCATGCTACCCTTGCTTTTCAACCAGACTAATTCATCAGAATCTCTGGGTATGAGGCCCTGTGGCATTGATAGTTTTTAAAAGCTCACCAGGTGATTCTAATGTGCAGCCACACTTGAGAACCACTTTGCTAGTAAAGAAAATGAAGGAAAATAGGGAAGTAATTATTGAAAGGGAAGTTTCATATCATTGATATACTTCTTCTATTTAAGTTTTTATATAGACATTCACTGTTTCGGTCAACGGATTTTATAAGCACTTTCCGCTAAGCTCACTGCTCACTCATAGTGCTTACATAAGTTAAACATGTAACTTATGTTTACATTTTACTTACGTAAGTTAAACATGGTCCTTACCCTTATTTTCTAGTGCAGTGAGAGAAACAGTCTCTAAGTGGTGATCTAAACTAGTGCAACAATAGGGAGTTATTACAGTATATAGAAGGAGCACTTCTGGTGAGGGATGAGGTAGTCAGAGAAGGCTTCTTGGAGGAAGTATCATTCAAGTGAGTCATATTTAAATTTTTGATTATTCTTGTTACAGATATCAACATCCCAGTATCTTTTTAGATAACCTAATTCATGGGACTTTTAAAAATCATCTTTTTCTTTCTCTTTAAGGTGACTCATATTCTTAATGTTGCATATGGAGTTGAAAATGCATTCCTCAGTGACTTTACGTATAAGAGCATTTCTATACTGGATCTGCCTGAAACCAATATCGTGTCTTATTTTCCAGAATGTTTTGAATTTATTGAACAAGCGAAAATGAAGGTAAGTTTTGTTTTGATCCACAGTTCTTCAGAAGCAGAAATTTGAAATTATGAGTCCATTACCCAATCTTTATTTATTTTTTTATTTTTGTAATGAATCTCTAAAGGGCCATTATGAATTTCCCCTCCAACAATATTTCATTAATTCTTACAGTTATTCAGAAAAGAGTTAATTGCTCTTTTCTTAATGAGATAGTTACTTTTACCATTAATTCAGTCTCATCTCCCTATGCCTTACTGAGAAATGTTAGAAGATAGAATCCTCTACTTAAGTGAGTTTTTCTGTGTAAATATGTAGTTAGATTTACTTTGAGGGTTTATAACCACTGGCCCTCTAACCAATTTGCAAGATGATCAGATGGACTATAGGATAGAGAATGTTCTAGTCTTGCTAGTGTATTTATGATGATTAATATGCATTCATTTTAATGACTGAAGGAGGATTACAACTATGCATTTTTAACAGTAGAATTTTAAGGCACTCTAAGGACTAAACATGTATTGCTTTACTGAGATTGTATGAAAATATTATCAGAAGCTGTCCATTGGTTTTTTTTTTTCCTTTTTGTCGTGTCTGGCAACGGATCGCAACCCTCAGTGTCACGCCCGTACCGGACCGGGACAACCCTCGGTGTTGCTCCCGCCCCTCGCTCAGCCAGTGAGCGGCCGGTCTGTATGTGGGATCCGAACCCGGCGGGAGCGCCACCGCGCTTCCCAAGCGGCGCACTATAGCAGTGTGCCACCGGCCGGCCCTGTCCATTGGTTTTTGATGTTAGAAGACCAATAGACAATACTTTAATCTTGATATTGGATCCAAGCCAACATTCTGACAGGCAGGACGTCTAGATTGGCTGTTATTAGTAATTATATCTTGAAATGACATCAGTTTTTTTTTTTTTGGACCGGTACGGGGATCGCAACCCTTGGCTCGGTGTGGTGGCCTCAGTGCTATTAGCGCCACACTCTCCCGAGTGAGCCACGGGGCCAGACCAAAATGACATCAGTTTTAATCAGGAAATAATTTCTATGAAATTTATGTAAGATAAATAGATAGGAAAGCAGAAGCACTTATAGAGAGAAGTAACTCTCCTGGAACACCTAACAATGTCAGCTAGGATTAGAATCCAGTTTAATTGAATTCTGGTCTAATGGTCTCCCTTCTACTTTCTCTCCTTCCCTTTTTCTCTTCCTCTCCCTTTCTTCTTTCCATTTAGTAATATTTATTGAGTGCCTTATGTGCTCAGCACTGTTTTAGGTACCTTCCTGTTAAACTGGAAAATTCAACTCTACTGTTCGTCAGCTTTATTTCATGGCAGATATCTGGCTGGAATCAAAGAACAAGGTTTTCTAATTCAAAGCCTTAAATTGGCCATTCTTTTCTCTTGTGAAAAATTTTATAGGCTCTGGATTGTAACATTCCAGTGTACTAGTTAATAGTGTTAGAAATAAAAATGATATATTCTATATTAGCTGCTGCTCTAAGGAGATAAAGAGTATGCCTTAGATGGTAAAGAATAGATGTCATCCATTCATATTAGAATTAGAAGATATGTTCCTGTTACAAGTAAAAATTGGAGAGGATCATAGTATCTAGAAAGAAAAACAAGAAATTGCGTATTCTAATAAACTTTGGAATTAAAAATTTTTTTAAATAAAGTTTGCCTTTATTTGGGCTAATAGTTAATTAGAATGGCTCTTGGCTTGTGTTTTCTAAAAATAGAGCTTGAGACAAGGGTTAAGAGCTCATGCTTAATTTGACAGGTACAATCCCTAGGTGGTGAGAATGAGAAGAAAGGAAAATGATTCAAGGTAGGATGGGAAGCAATGCAAAGTGATGGATGTGTTTACCCTGCTGAGGACAATTTCACAGTGAGCTGACCAGGAAATAGCTGGGTGCTCAGCAGGTACAGCTGCTCTACCCAAGACATCTCTGGACATGCACTACAAAGAAACTGCACCTCTATACAGAGTTTGGCAGGGAGGAAGGATATCTGCCTGGCTCCCTCTCAGCTCCTGTTTCTCATTGGTCAAAGCTGGCTTATGAGGAGGTAACTAACCCCACAATTCCAGCTTATGACATTCTACTCCTTCAGCAGGCAGCTTGAAGCCAAACCAATGCCCTGTGGTGTGACTTTTCATCCAAGTTCAGAAGTAGCAAGAGAAACCAGAACTCAGGGAATGCCTGTCTATGCTGTGGACACCCTGGGGGAAGAGCCAGGCCTTCTTAGACAAGCAAAAATTAATGGAACTTAGGGGAGCAGTCAGTCATGGAGGTCACAGCTGAGGTGAGGCAAACTGAGTGTCCGTGAGATGATGGTACCAAGAGGATCTGAGTAGTTGCATAAGATGTTTCTGATTCAAGATATATTAGAATTCCACAGTATATTCTAATTTCTCAAGCCTTGTGTCTTATACTGGGATCCTAACCTCAGCCAGTATTTCCTTGTTCAGAAAACTCTTTATTCTTTAGACTAATACGTACTTAGTTTTAGCAATAGAATTCTTGAATTTTCTTCATTGATTATTCCTGGAAGAGATCTCTTCGTGACTTTGTCTATTGTATTTTCAAATATTTTAAAATCTAATTACTCAGTGAGTTGCATATTTCAAAACTACCTTTCTAGGCCCTAGTTTGTTGTTTTCATCTTTTTACATATATTTGCCAAATAGAATGTCTTCCATTTTCCCCTGTCTTTCCTTATTTCCTTCTGTACTTATAAAACGCTTTTTGATTTCTCTGTTCTTCCACTATCTCCACTTCGTATATCATTTGTCAGGTTTATGCCTAAAGGGACAGAAATACACATGAGAGAGAAGCAATAATGGTAACTTCTGTAGTCTCGAGAGTTCTTTTAGGAACTAAATTTATTTAGCCACTCTTTTTATTTGCAAAAGGTTTTGTTTGTTAGTATGAAAATGTGTATTTGATATCCTCTGTTTATTATTATTTATTTTAGAAGATGTGATTTTTAAAACATTACGTAAATAATCCAGGTTCATTGTAGAAAAAATGGAAAATACAGATAAAAATTAAGATTGTCCTATTTCCACACTTAGATATAACCACTCTTACATTTTGATAAGTTTTTCTAGGACTTTAACATTTATCAAGGGTTTGGGTCCCCATACCAGCCAGCTGTCAAAAAAAAAAAAAAAATTCATTCTTTCATTCGTTTCTATTTTATATGTTATATATAATATGTACTATTATATATTATATGTAATGTATAATATGTATATACATTTTTAATAAAATGGTATATAATTCGTGTTCTTTTATAGCCTGCTTGTATACTTAATATCAAATAATATTTAATTTCTACATAGTATTCTAGTACTTAGTGATTTCTATAATTTATTTATCTAATTTCCTACTATGAGACATGTAAGCTGTTTCCAGTTTTTTGTTCAATATAAGTAAAGGTTCATAAGAGAAACATTATGACTCTAAATAAATATCTAAATTCACTACATTTTTCAATGATTCTTCCAGCTTGTTTCACATGCTACCCAGCACTGTTTTGTATTTTCCATGTTTACGTTGCCCTCGTCTAGTGTGGCTAGTCATGAGTGGACTAGTCCGACCTGTGCTACCCAAAGTGTGGTCCAGTTTGCTGCCGGACCTCAGTAAGATAAGAAGTTTGTACCTAAATATAAATCAAGACATTGCTTCATTTATTGAGCAATACTGACTGCCAACAAAGAAAGAAGCTGAATTAAACAGTACATTTGGTAACAGTTTTTCATCCACTGCAAAATCTTATTTCATAATAGGCTGTTGTCAAGCATTTGCAGAACACATCATTCCCAAGTTTTATTGGAAGTTATATGTAAGAAAAACACCTGAACTTGGCTCAGTCTGTCAGCAAATATTAATTACTTATTCTGACAAATTGTGAGGGGTACACATTGCTGCCCTCAAGGAGCTTACAATCTAATTGAAAAGCTATTCATAACAGAAGAAAACAAAGAAAACTCTATAAAATTGATTTACTATCTGCCCATAGCAAAATGGTGATCTGAAATTTTGAGACAACGCTTTCCTTTCAGAAATGCATAACAAGTTATTTTATTCACTTAGCAAACATTTATGTAATACCTACTATGTGCCAAGAATTGCATTATGTACTAGGCACACCACAATGGCTAAAACATTCCTTCTGCCCTCCTCTCACCTGGAGAGAGGCAGTCTTCTTAGAAGCCAGATTTAGCTGTACCAAAACTCTTCCAGGCAGAAGACAACAGCAAGTGCAAAGGGAAAAAATTATAAATTATTTGTCACTATTTTGAATTCTGGAAAAGCAATATAAAGCCAATAATTTCTCTGTAAATACTTTCAAGAATAATGTGATACCTAAGGAATAATAAAAAGGTAGAAGGTAGATAATTCATAATCTGTGGAAGAGCAACTGCTATATATAGTAGTAAAATAGAAGAAAATACTAACATTTTAAAACATTAGCTAAAAATTTTCATTTCATTGGGAAGGCTAAAAAAATTAGCTAAAATTGGATGCATAGTGTATAAGACTGAAAATAAAGCTGGTTTTATTTTCAAAGGCATATTTATGGATCATAAAATACAGATGACTAGTATAAAGCCAGGAAATATTTTAAATGATATTGAATGGTATCTCTTGCTTATTAAGTTTATAATTGCAAGCTTCTTTGGAATACTTAATATGTTTTGAGCTACATGAAATTCATTAATAATTTATATTAGTTACTGTAATATAATTTTTTTTGTGTGTGTGACTGGCTGGTACAGGAATTAAACACTGGACCTTGGTGTTATCAGCACCATGCTCTAACCAACTGAGCTAACTGGTCAGCCTGTAATATAGTTTTTAAACATCTTAAGTTCATAAAAATGAGCTATTGCCACAAAGTGAGAAAAGTTCCAGATGTATACTGTTTAGTGAATATTTGAATATTTGTCTTTTGCTTTTCTTGTAGAGAAACAAAGTTTGGAAATGAGTCGTGAATGTCTATAAGAAAACAAGTGAAATTATCTTTTTGATAGGACGATTTTCAAAATATTAACTCATTTTGTAGTTAATCATTCGGCTTTTTTTTTTTTTTTGGATGGCTGGCTGTTACTGGGATCCAAATCCCTGACCTTGGTGTTCTTGGTGTTTTCAGCACTACACTCTAACTGAGTAAGCTAACTGGCTGGCCCTTTGGCTTTCTTGAAAAGAGATGCTTTGCAAATTTGTTACACAATCCTGGAAAGGAATTTTCCAACAGATATATGAATCTGAGAAAACTAATATAAGTAAAATAATCTAATGAATCATAGCAATAGAATTGTTAAAGTGTGCTTTGGGTAGAGGATTTTCAGTAGTATTTTTTTCCCCTTCCTCTGTTCCTATCTTTCCTTTGTGTTGTGCCAAATGAAGGATCAGGAAATGAAGTAACTGAAATGTCTAATTCTGTAGGGTGTGCTCACAGTTCACTACATTTCATTTAGATCATTAACTTTTTAAAAGCTTGAGATAGGCCAAGCTGTATCAGGGCTTTTCCATCACATCTATCACATTTATTATTAATGCAATATTGCCCCCATCAGCATTGGTCTTACACCGTGTCCCTTTTCACTTGGAAAGTATCATTTGCAAGTTACCTGAAACGTTTATCATTTATTGACTTCATGCTGGTGTCTGATTACCTTTTCCACTTCACATTGTTATGAGTTATTTGTATCATCATTTTACTAACTCATAAATTTAATTATTTTTTGTTATTTCCTTCTAGAACAAAATATGTCCAAGGGTAGAATTTTTTTTTTCCTTCCTGATCATTTTACACATAAATTTCCAAGCCAGGGACTCTAGTTTCTTTACGGGAACACTATGTGTACCTGGATTGTATGTGGCTTTCTGCTTAGTTTATGGTTTTATTTATATTTGCATGTATGTCCCTTGTGATTCCTCTCTTATTTATAAACATGTGGCTACTAAGTTACTAGGCTTTTATATGTACTTTACTGGATTGCTTTAGTTTAATAAAAGATACTGTTCCAGAATTCCAAATCCATCATTAAAGCATTTCAGTCCTGGGGGAGTAGGGAGAGAAGGTATAGGTTAGTTGATTGATTGATTGTTTTTCCATTCATTGTTTGCAATGAATTGTATTTTTATAACCAAATAAATTGAATCAAATAAATCAATAAAATGGAATGTTTATAATTTTAAGTAATATAAGAATGTGCAATCAATTTAATGACCTTTCTCAAATGAATAATGAAGATTTTTGTTTGATTTTTTTGCAGGATGGAGTAGTTCTTGTTCATTGTAATGCAGGAGTTTCCAGGGCTGCTGCAATTGTAATAGGCTTCCTGATGAATTCTGAAGAAACTTCGTTTACCAGTGCCTTTTCTTTGGTGAAAAATGCAAGGCCTTCCATATGTCCAAATTCTGGCTTCATGAAGCAGCTTCGTACATATCAAGAGAGCAAAGAAAGCAATAAGTGTGACAGATACAGGAATTAGAAAGGGACAACAGTTCATGAGTTGCATTCTATCAGATGATGGATAACTAATCTCTGAATTAGCCTCTATAGCCATCTTTTCCCTTTTTGGATCGTAGACTAGCAAAAACTTCCTTTTCTTGTGCCTTTTCCAAGTGGAAACAGGTCAATTTGGTTGATCTGAGCTAGCATATAAATAAATTTTTAAATTATATTACTTTCTCTTTGTTATCATAATCTGTGACTAAATGCTTCTTTGAATTGCTAAGGAAAAATAATAAAGTATTACCAAACATTGATTTCTGTGGAAGAAAAAGGTTTAAATTCAAAATTTGTATTAGAACATAGAAAAAATAAATCAGTTGATGAGGGCCTTTAGTATTTTTCTATACCAGCAACTGTTTTCATGAAGGAAAAAACTTGAAGTGCTGCTTGACTTACTATTTCACAGGGAGATAAATTTCTTTGTAAAGAATCTTTTTAAGATTAAAAATGAATACTTTAAACTTCCCCAAAGAAGTAGCTAGAATCTAAAAGTTTACATAATTATATAGTGGTTACAATATTCACAAATTTTATGTCCTGTTATGAAAACATACTCACTTTTCATTTGATTTTTTAGTTTAATTCTATTACCTGCATTTTATTGTTGTTATCATTATTGTTTTATTTATTTATTTATTTGTGGCTGCCCAGTAAGGGGATCTAAACCCCTGGCCTTTGTGTTGTAATACTGCGCTCTAACCAACTGAGCAACTGGTCAGCCCAGTTTTTTATTTTTTAAATGTTTGTATTGATGTTCTCGCTTACACTGTTGTGAGCTTTTAGTTCTTTCATTAGGTGATCTGTTCTCTTACATTTTTGTGCTTTTCTTAAAGGTTTTTTAAAAAATTATTTATTAATATTACTTTTTTTACATTCTATGATGTTGTTTTGAAGCAGTTGGGAGGGAGGGGTAGAGGATGAGCTTGGACAAAATAATATTAAGTGAAATAAGCCAGACACAGAAAGAGAAATACTGCATGTTCTCACTTATATGTGGGAGCTAAAAAAGAGAACAAAACAAAACAAAAAAACAATCAAATAAATAATAAGTTGAATTGTTAAAAGGAGAGAGAACTGTGGTTACTAGAGGCAGGAAAGGGGAAAGAGGATAGTGAGATGCTGGTTAATAGATGCAAAATTACAGCTAGATAGGGCCGGCCTGTGGCTCACTCCGGAGAGTGTGGTGCTCATAACACCAAGGCCACGGGTTCGGATCCCATATAGGGATGGCCAGTTTGCTCATTGGGTGAGCATGGTGCTGACAACACCAAGTCAAGGGTTAAGATCCCCTTACCGGTCATCTTTAAAAAAAAAAAAAAAAAAAATTACAGCTAGATAGGAAAAATAAGTCCTATTGGTGTACAGTCAACCCAGGAATATGTAATTAACAGTGGTTTACTGCATGTTACCAGATGACTAGAAGAGGGGAGATCAAATGTGCACATCACAAATAAATGATTGTTTGCAATGATGAATATGCTAATTATCCAGAATAGATCATCACACATTGTATATATGTATTGAAATATAACTCTCTACCCCATAAATATGTACAATCAATATGTTTAAATAAAAATATTTTTTAAAAAGAATGTTACATTAATTGAATCATAGTATGTGATATTCTGGGATTGGCTTTTTCATTCAGCATAATTTTCTGTAGATTCATCCAGGATGTTGCACGTATCAGTAATTTGTTGATTTTTACTACTTAGTAGTATTCTGTGATATAGATGCATCACAGTTTGGTTAACTACTAACATATTGAAGAACATCTAGATTGTTTCCAGTTTGAGCTATTACAAACAATGTGTCTATAAACATTCATGTACAAATTTTTGGATTAATATACATCATCATTTCTCTGGGAAAAATGCCCAGTTGCTGGTTCATTTGGTAGTTGCTTACTTAGTTGTTTAAGAATCTGCCATTTTCCAGAATAGCTGTACGATTTTGTATTCCCACAAGCAACATTTAAGTGATACAGTTTTTCTACATCCTTGTCGACATTTGGTGTCACTATCTTTTACTTTAGCTGTTCTGGTAGGTACATAGTGACATCTCATGGTTTTAATTTGCACTTCCCTAATAGCTTCTGATGTTGAACATCTTATCATGTGTTTGTCATCTGTATATCTTCTTCAGTAAAATGTCTCTTCATGTATTTTTTCTATTTTCTTTCTTTTTTTTTTTCCTTTTTGTCTTTTTTCAGAACCGGCAACGGATCGCAACCCTCAGTGTCGCGCCCGTACCGGCCCGGGACCGGCAACGGGATCGCAACCCTCGGTGTTGCTCCCTGCACCTCGCTCAGCCAGTGAGCGGGAACGGGTCTGTATGTGGGATCCGAACCCTCAGCGGGAGCGCCACCGTGCTTCCCAAGCGGCGCACTGTAGCAGTGCGCCACCGGGCCGGCCCTATTTTTTCCATTTTCTAATTAGATTGACTTTTTTACTATTGAGTTTTGAGAGTTCTTTGTATAATCTAGATTCTAGTCTTTTTGTTGGATAAATGGTTTGCAAATATTTTCTTCTACTCTGTAGATTGTCTTTTCATCCTCATAACAAGATCTTCCATAGAGCAAAATTTTTATTTGCATGAATTCCAATTTATAAATTTTTCCTTTATGGATTGTTTGATGTCAAATCTAAGGGCTTTTTGCTACTCTAGGTCTTAAAGATTTTTGTCTATTTTTTTAGAAGTTTTATGGTTTTGCATTTAAGTCTGTCCTCCATTTTTTAGACTCTCAAAAATATTCCTACAACATTAATTGCCATTTGAACTTTTATTATCATAATATGCATGATTGTAACATAGCTTGACCTGCTGTTAAAAATAATACACAAAGATTATTATTAAAATAGTTGATTGTAAATTATAGGTTGGATTAGTCTGGGTCCAATCGGGAAAGATAAGCCAGACAATAATTTGAAAAGGGAAAGTTATATAAAGATTTATTAACCATAATAGGATTGTAGTAACGGATTGTCTAGAAAGAAAGAAGTAAAGAGAACTGTAAACAATACAGGAATAACAGATACAAAGAGCAGCCACCACTCATGGGGCTAAGATAGAGCATTCAAGGAAGAAAGCCCACAGGGTTGAAATCCAGCTCTTGTAGAGTGAAGCCATGGCTCACTGGATGGCAGAGAAATCACTGTGGTGTTAACTGACAAAACTTGCTGAAATATCCACCCTCTAGGATGCCATGTGTTGGGAAAGGTAGTCTTATATGCATACAGTCTTTGACCCCTAGGTGGGTCTCATAAGAATGTGCCTTGGGCTTGGAACACTTCTTTACCAAGAGATAGAGAATCCTTCCCACCTATATTTGGCTTATCACCTCGTATGGGAATATTTTTCCCTGTTGCCAACTCAGTGTGTACTCCTTTGTTCTGCTTAAGACCATTTCTCAATGGCCCGCAGGCAGGCCCCCAGATTTCTGTATTTCAGATCCCATAGGAAAGGAGTCAGGCAGGGTCCTTCTACTGCAGAAGGTGGGGTGTGTGTAGCCACATGGCCTCTGTTGGCTTAGAATGACCACTCTTTCTCTCTTGCTGTGAATGGCAGAATTTCATTCTATTTTATGGCTGAATTAAGTATTCCATTGTGTATATGTACTACATTTTCTTTTTCCAATCATCTGTCGATGGACATTTAGGTTGGTTCCATTTCTTGGCTTTTGTGAACAGAGCTGTGATAAACATGGGAGTGCAGGTGTCCTTTTGACTAATATAACATTCTTGAAATGACAAAATTATAGAAACAGAGAACAAATTAATGGCTGCTAGGGATTAAGGAGGTGATGTCAGCGGACAGAAGTGGGTTATAAGAGGGCAACATGAGAGGGATCCTTGTAGAAATGGAAATGTTCTTTATATTGATGTATTAATGTTAAATACCTGTTTGTGACATTGTACTATAGTTTTGCAAGATATTATCAGGGAGGGAAACTGAGTAAAGAGTACGTGGAATCTCTGCATTATTTTTTACAAGTGCTTATAAATGTATACATATCTCAAAATAAAAAGCTTAATTAAAAATGACTTAAAAAAACCAATTACTATACTCTGATTTCATGGAGTTTGTCATCTAGTTGGGGGAACAGGTATTATTTAAAAAATTACAGAAGCATATAATTCATATTGTAACCTTGTTTAGTTATGAGGGAAAGCTTTCCTGACTTTTAAGTGACATTTGCAATCAGTTCTAAGAGAAAAGTAGGAGTTGACTAAGTAAGGGGGAGTGAGTCATTGCAGATCTTCCAGGACTGAGGGAAGAACACGTGTAAAGATCCAGAATTGGGAAGGAGCAAGAGACACTGGAGTAATGTAAAGAGCTGAGTAGCTGGAACAGCGAAACAGAACAGGTGAGATGATGTCAGATAAGGCTGAATTTATCTGATGAACTTATCTGTTAGGCCTGATGAAGCAGGGGCATGTAGGCAGCTTTAAGATTTTTGTCCTTTAGAGCAGTGGAATAAATTGAAATGTTTTAAGCAGGAGAGAAACTTGCTCAGAATGTTATTTTAATTAATTAATTAATTCATTTATTTATTTTAAAAGATAACCAGTAAGGGGATCCTAACCCTTGACTTGGTGTTGTCAGCACCATGCTCACCCAGTGAGCTAACCGACCATCCCTATATGGGATCCGAACCCATGGCCTTGGTGTTACCAGCACCACACTCTCCCGAGTGAGCCACGGGCTGGCCCACTCAGAATGTTATTTATTTATTTATTTATTTTTGTCTTTTTTTGTGACCGGCAACGGATCGCAACCCTCAGTGTCGCGCCCGTACCGGACCGGGACCGGCAACGGGATCGCAACCCTTGGTGTTGCCCCCACTCCTCGCTCAGCCAGTGAGCGACCGGTCTGTATGTGGGATCTGAACCCTCGGCGGGAGCGCTGCCACGCTTCCCAAGCGGTGCACTGCAGCAGTGCTCCACCGGGCCGGCCCCAGAATGTTATTTTAAAAAGATCCTTCTAGCTGCACTGTGGAGAGTGGATTAGGGAGGGAAAGCAAGACCGATAAGTAAGCTAGATCCAGGTAACAGATCATAAAGCTGGGATTTGGTTAGCATTAAAAATGGAAAGAAGAAGATGCATTTGAAAGGGATTTAGGAGGTAGATTCATAGTACTTGACATTGAATTAGTATTGGAAAGAGGTT